ATCTGTTTTGGGATTGGGGAGGGAAACGGCTGAAAAGAATAAAGAGAAATTAATTTGAATTGTTAGTGTCCTACTAATTGAGGAGACGTAATTTTAAGATAATTATACATTATCATTTTTAAAGGGATTGTGTATCTGATTTTTTTTTAAATATGATATATTTTTTAAAAAGTGGTATTCTATGTAATATTTTTAAAGTAGAGATAAAATATGTATATGTGGTAGTTAAGTATGTCTAGATAGGTAGTTTTTCCATTAATTTGATTAGTCTAATTTTCTTTAGCGCATTAATGAGATCCAATACTAGCCTGACCAAAAAATCATACAAAAGCCAGTAATTTAATCATGGAATATATAGAATTCTGTGAAAATATAATAATCTATACTTTCCCGTTCAAAAATAAATGGTACAGTACGTTCTATCAATTCAATCTCGAAAAATAAAAAGAAAGACTATCTTTAATTAGTTTCGTGATAATAAGGAATAAATTGCGCATGTACACACTCTGTTGAGGGTATTTTGGTAAGGAAACGTAGAGGGGCTGCTGTATATACTTGTACATCACTAATTTTTCTGCTGTTTAGAGTAATTATTGCTATTCTGGGATAATCAGGATATACATTACAATCTTCTTTTGAGCTACTTACCAAATTTACCCCGCAACTCTCATTCTTGTGTCCTCCTTCTATAATTATGCGGTATTTTCCCATGGAGTTGGTCATGCCTGATGAATTCAACGTCTCTTTTTTAGTTTTGAGACGATGGCACTGCAATTGTACGCGTGCACCTACATTTGAATAGAATTGATTAATGTCAGATCTTGAATTTTCGCCTTTAACAATTCATGAATTTCAACATACCTGGTAAAGGCTCACTAAGATTGGATTGAAATGCAGAACGACAAGGATCACAATAGACACTTCCTTCTATAATGATTACACGATTTTTAAACCCCTCAATAATCACCAACAAGGACAATAAACAAATAACACTAGCAATCAAGATTACATGAGCTGATTTTCCCATTTTATGTCCTTTTGTTTTAAAAATGTATTCTCTATATTGTATTTTGAAGTCTTTTCTTTTTATATATATATATATACATACTTGTATTTTGGTAGTTACTTTATTTGGTTATTGTTGTGTTTTTGTGGTGAGGAATTTTTTTGATTTTACTTAAAATAGTACATCCATTACTTTTTTTCTAGTTTAAATGAAAAAAAAATAGTTTTTTAAAAAGTACTACATTAACTCCTACTTAGACTCTTTATGTTATTATTTGTGTTTCTCTCGAACACACAGATAAATCAACAAAATATGTTGGTTAGTCAAGTCAGGTCCTGCTGAAAGTTCGGGAAAGAGTGGCTATTATATCAAAATTGAATAACTAGCAATAATAATTAGTATATGACCAAATACCTTTAATTATGAAATGAATAAGAACCAAAAATATTAAATTAATTAAAAAAATAAATTATTCTTACATCTTAGAAGAATCGGTCTCTAAAATAAATCTCATGTAGCCAACACTCAAATATAAAGAAGAAAAACTCTCAAATTGGATTAATAATAATATCCTACCTTAAATAACAAAAGAATATTCATAAGAGGCTACAAGCACACAACTCTTTAAACCTAAAATAAAAACATATATGATAATCTTTCCTTTTTTAAAAATTCGGATATCTGTTTAAAGTTTAGTTTTACGCCTCCAATCTTGTAAAGCAATGAAAGCATGCCTCATAAATGCTATAAACAACATATCATGTGTTGGAGGTCGAACTCAAGAACCAAATTATAGCTCCCAACTCCCAACTATAAAACCATGCTCAAAGACAATATTTGCATTTTTAGCTATAAAATCATGAACTTGACAACTCTTTTCTCAAGTATTGTGCTAAAGTTCAAACTCATTGGAGAAACTCTAATTGATTGAGCTCAATTGGCTGATTGTAACTAACTCCTTCTAACTAATTGAAGATAGTTTGTTACAACTAATCAATACAAAAGGACTGATCTACCCTTGATCATCTTAATCGCCTTAACTAACTAACTTAACTACTTCATTCTCATATCTCATCAATGACCACTAGAAAATTAAAAAAATAAATCAATGAAACATAAAGTAAGGAACCAAAAAGAGGTATTCTCTCTGTTTCAATTAACTAGTTATTTTAAAAAAATTTGTCTCATTTCTTTTTTCGGAAATGTTTTCAATCCATTTTGAAAAAAAATGTCTCTTTTTTCCCCCGAAAACTCTTTAATTAACTTTTCAAAATGACATGTTCGAGACCACATAATTAAAAGGACATTTTGATACATTTTAGTTTAAGATTACAAGATTTAAAGATCTTCTTAACTTTGTTAAATTTCGTATCAAATTAAAATTAGATAAATAAATTAGAACGGAAAAATACCTGATGATGTTGCTGCTAATAATCGTGGTATTTTTGGTTCACGAATGATGATGGGTATTTTATAGTACTACGTACTTTTTCTTTTAAAGCTCCAAGGAATAAAGTTTAGAAACCTCTCAAGCCTCAAAATCAAAACTCAAACTAACACAAAATTACATAAAAATGACCATATCGTCCTTAGTTAAAGTGTATATATATAGATGTAAAATTAATGACACATCAAATAAATTAAATGTAGGACGACTTTTAGAACCTGTTTGGATAGACTTGTTTTAAGCACTTTTCTAGCGTTTATAAACGCTTGATTTTAAACTATATGATAAAAATAAGCTAAAACTCATATGTTAGAGATTTTAACTTATGAATCAAAAGTCGATCCAAACAGACTCTTAATCTTATTGTAATTCAATTTAAAATCCTTTAGGCCTGGTTAATATCTTTAAGTTCAGGGAGATATTCCATTTCCTTGAATTCTTGTTGACATTCTGGTGCTGCTTTTTTGGTCAAGAAAAAGAGAGCATTGGATTCACGATTCTTTCCAGCAATGCCATTGTTGCTAGTCAGTGTAACTCTTGATGATTCCTTGGTATGTCCCTCAGTTGGGATCTCACTGCAATCTTCTTTTGGACTTTTTATCAAATATGTCTCGCAGATTTCGTTCTCATGATCACCTTCTATCAACATGTGGTAATATCCAGTGGAGTTAGTCGAAGCAGTCACAGTTATTGTGACTTGTTCAGTTTCGGGGTGTCGGCATTGCATCCCCACCCTCGCATCTGCACGTGTACGTACAAATTAAATAGTTTAGTGCAAATCTAAACATTACAAATGAACTCATTTATTCACCAACAGAAATTATTATTTTCGAGTCCAACTATGAATTTATATGCAATTTCTTATTATTATTATTTTTATCAGACTTTTAAGGTTTTTGTGCACTCCTTTTGAAAGACATCTATAGTTTGTTTAGATTGGCTTTTAAAAAGAGTTTATTTTTATTTTTATAGTATTTCGGTTTTTAAAAAAAACATAAAAATTTAAACACTTGTTTTTAAATAAAAAAAGACAAAAAAATAAGGCAGAAATCTATAAGTCCTTCCGAATAAGGTCTTAATAGCTTTAATAATTTTAATCGGAATGTATATCTTGAGATTATAATTAGAATGAACTAAAATTTTCTACCTACTAATTTATTATATACTCCATCTGTCCTTAATTACTTGTCCACTTTTGAATTGACACACCTATTAAGAAAACAATGATTGACATAGTGAATTTACCATTTTACCTCTATTAATTATGAAGTGGATGAATTAAAAACTTAAAATTTTCAAGAAGTTCTATATTTTTCAAAGTAATTAATTGAAGATATAATAGGTAAAAAAAATCGTCCTTTCTTGATTTGTCAAAATAGACAAGTAATTAGGGACAACTAAAAAAGGAAAAATGGACAAGTAATTAGGAACAAATGGAGTATATGATAGATAATCTTAGGATCCTGGTATAATTTTTTTCCTAATTTTAGGTAATAACCTCAACCAAACACAAAATAAATTTAAATTCAAAATTTTCATTGGACAACTCAATTAATCCATCAAAACAAACAACCTTTTAGACTAGTTGCCTTAATTACCTTTTATCTCTTTCAAAAAGTCGTGTGTTTGTATGAAGGAAAATATTTTATTTTTTTTGAATTATCTCTAGAAAAATAAGCTCCTTAATGAGGAAAATGACTTTCTTAATGAAAATAAAGAAACAAGTTCTCTCCACCCTACCCACCTAACGTTCCCAACCCCCATCCTTTGACTCTTCCACCCCAAACCCACAATCCGCACCCCATCATAATATTTTGCTAACTTACCTATAAATGCTCTTAAAATAATATTTTCGTACCAAATGTACTCTCAAGTAATTGATCCAATAATAATGATATTATTTGAAAAAAAATATACCTGAAACTGGCTCACTAAGAGTGGTTTTGAATATTGAACGACAAGGATCACAATACACAATTCCTTCAAGAATAAATTGATAATTATCAGATTCTTCATTGGCTTGAGTAATCCCTAATAGGGAGAACAAGCAGATAGCACTAGCAATAAAGATTATTGTTGATTTTCCCATTTTTCTTCCTTCTTTTTCTTTCTTTTTTTCTAAAATATATATTTTTGGCCTTTCTTTGTTTCTTTCTGCAGGTTGCAAAATCGAAGTTAGAAAGCACCTTTTTTTTGTTTGTCAAAGTATGGAACCTACAATCTTGAAGGAATGCTTTATATATACTTTTATTATTCTGGCAGTTATTTTTTATTAGGTTGTTATTTAACTGTAGTCGTTTTGTGGTAAAGAATTTTTTTTTTTTTTAAAAATAATTTCCAATGGAAGATAAAAAAGGCATTCCTCCTATTTTAACTCTTGTTCTTTAATTTTTGTTTCCCTATTTCTCTCCCTTATACACAAAAAGTAAAATAAAAAATCAAATCAATGTTTTATGTTAGTCTAGTCATATGCTAAAAGACCAAGGAAATAATTCAAGTTTATTAACTTCATTTCAAATAAATTCAACAGAAAATTTAGGAAAATTAAAGTATACAATAATTAACTTAAGAGTAATTTACCAAAATATTTACTAAATTATCCTTAATTAAATTGTAGTAAGTAGAGTATCAATTTAATCCTTCTTTACAAATTCACATACTTGAAACATGTCTTTTAATCATCATGATTTTTTTTTATTTTCTTTAAAAAAGAGTATAGGTAAAAAGAATATAAAGAGGATTAAAAAGATAAAAAAATTGAATTACTAGACGAAAATTCACATAGTCAACCAAAACTAAGTTACTAAAATGTAAAAATTATTCCAACATTTTTTGTGAGCTACTGGCCTTGTTGCTTCAGTATTTTTTTTGGTTTCTCATTCGGTGTTCGGAGCCTATTTTGGAGTCTCGACTAAATTCAAATCGTGCATTATAGAGCTTATTTGGAAGTGGTGCTTGCAAAAAAAGATTTTTTTTCCATATGGAAGGCTGAAGAACTTCTTATTAAGGTGAAATACTCTCACCACTACGCCACGACCCATGTTGGTTGTTGCTTGGCCTTGTGGTAACAATCACACAGATAGGTTAAGATAGGTGGAGAGGAGAGTTACAATTATGGGCCTTGTAAGAAAAGAAAAAACAACAAAAATGGAATTAGGAAAACGCCAACTACCCCTTTTTAGCTCTTTCTGAGTAGAAGAAGCTTCGTTGAGTTCAACATCAATGTCTAGTAAAAAGCAGAGGAGGATGTTGAAAGTAAGGAAAAATGGTGGGTGTGATGTTGACATAACACACTCTGCTTAGATTGATTTGCGCGGAGGAAAAGGAAAACAACAAAGACAATCCCCAAAGGGTCCTCTTCTCTTTCTACACTTGTTGGGTTATCCCATAGCCATATATAGCCATATATATGGCGTCATCAGCGACATTACTTCATCATTATTCTCCTCGCCCTTCTATCTCTTCCAATTCTTCTTCTTCTTCTTCATCATCTTCTGCTTCTTCTTCGTCATCTTCTTCCTCTTTTGATCAACGACGATGCTTTAATTGGAAATTTCTCTGCTTTTCTGGTAAATCTTTTAATTTCTCTCTCTCGCTCGCTTTTTTGACTTTGCAAATTGATCCAACTTCGATTTTTTTGTCTATTGAATTGAAATTGAGTTAACCCCTTTGTCTATTGAATTGAAATTTGTGCCAATTTTGGATCTTTTCTATTTTAATTAGTAGATTAATTGATTCTTGATGTGATTTGTTTGATTTATCTAGAAAAAGAAGTTAGGGATGTTTTCAGTGCATATTGTTTGGATTGGTGGTTGAATACTGAAGTTAATTGTAATGCAGATGGATAGAAATGCTAAAATACACAAATTAAACCCTTTCTTTCATTGAGCAATTTGATTTTATCTCAAAGTAGAGTGTGAAAAAAAAGGAGCAGCTAGTAGATATTTACATGTCAGTTATGGAACAATTATCACTGAATCGAATAGTTCTAGATTGATTTTTCCTGTTCTTATGGATTGTTGGAGTTGTCTAATGTGAAAGAGGGACTGTCATTCTGCAAATTGTAGTGATAGTTGACTGCTACTCACATATATATCCATTCTAAGTTTGTAATCCGATAACAGATATAACTTGAGCCTTTTGTTCCCGCTTGTCATTTGGATTTGCCATCTTCTTAAGGTTTCTTTTTTTGGATACTTCTATTGCTAAGGAAATGAAAGGGAAGTCGTATTTTATACTAGCTTCTCGATTCTAAAGCGAGAGAACCTTGCACAGGACATTTAGTTGGTTACTTACTGTAGAAATCACTTTAGAAATGGCTTTATGTGCGTCCAGGCCTAACTTGGATAGGATTGAACTGACCATGAGCTTGCAACTATTGGAGACTGCAATGTAATTAACTTTCCAATCAAATATTTGGGGCTCCTGCTAGGGGAAGGTTCAATTGGGGAAAATGTGGTGACCGGTGGTTCAGAATTTTGGGGTAGAAGAAAATCTACTTATAAAACGTTGGATAAGATCATTTTGATAAAGGCAACATTATCAAATACCAACCCACGTCATATCCTCATTTCTTATCTTTGTTTCAGTTAGTAAGAGATTGGAGAAATTAATGATAACTTTTCTCTGGGATCTTGCAAAAGAGAAAAGAAAGTACCATCTTGTGAATTGGGAAAGGGGTATGACCCCATTGAAAGTAGTGGGGGTTGGGAAAACGAATGCTAGATATCTTAAACAGATCATTGTCGCGAAAATTGTTCTGGAGGTTTGCCAACAAAGGGGGAGCCATGTGGAAGATTGTCATAAATAAGGTGGTGACCAATATCAGTGGCTAGTGAAGGAAGTAACGTCATCTTATAGGAAAAATCTGTGGAAGGAATGAAGGACAAGATGGACTTTTGCAAAGTTTATCGAATTCCAAATCAGAAATATGAATCCACTTCAGTTCTGGCTAAACCTCTAATGTGGGATAACACTTTGAAAGATGACTTCCTACCCCTGGCTGGCAACAAGGAGGTTGTAGTAGCTGAGATCCTTGAAATGACACACACATTTGTTTTGGAATGTAGCTTCTAAAGGACCACTGCAGTATTGAGAATATGACAAGGTGAACTGTTTCTACTGAGGTTGTGTATTCACTCATAATACAGGAAAACAGGTGGTATGATTTGAGAGGGATACCTTGGAAGCACTGCATTGTCAAACCCTATTATAGGTACTGAATCAGAGAAGGGGAGCTCGAGCTCAAAAGCCAGACGTTTGTGGAGAGGTTTATGAAAGACAAGGCAGCAAAGAAGATGTCATTTTTATCAAGTTATGCAACTTAAGAAGCAATATTGGCCATGACCAATAAAAAGAGAGATTGTATAGCAGTGTTATCAAAAGCAAAAAGGACAAAAAAGCTCTAAGGTCCATTGTGCCTTTAAGCGCAAATAAAATGTGGGTTTAAAAGAAAAAAGGTGCAAGGGGAGAAACAAGAAAAATACATACTCCACCTGTCCCAATTTATGTGACACACTTTCGTTTTTAGTTGGTCCCAAAAAGAATGATACATTTTCATATTTAGTATTAATTTAACTTTAAAATATCCATTTTACCCTTAATGAGATATCTATGACTTGTTTTTAAATCACAAATTTCAAAAGTCTTTCTTTCATTCTTAAACTCCATGCCAAGTCAAAGAACATCACATAGATTGGGATGGAGGGAATTTATATATGTTTAGTCCAAGACTAATGATTATAAGCATGAATGGCAAATATATGTTGTACTTTTGCAAAGACACTTACCCTCCCCATACCTCACTTGTGGGATACACTGTGGGATACACTGGGTATGTTGTTGTACTTTTGCAAAGACAACACTTTTTTGATGCATTGTTTATGCAATTTTTGGGAAAAAAAGGTCTAGGCATAGAGATAGTTACATGATAATTTTCTAAGTCACCAAATTCTTAATTATAGACTGACATATTATCCAAATTTTAGTCAACATTTAAAAGAATTTCAAAGTTGGAATATTTTAGGATGTATAGGATGGACAATTCAAGGTGTAAGGTGGCAAACAACTCAAGGTGTAAAGCGTGAAAGGGGTGAACAACTAAGGCGTAAAGAGTGCAATGGATTTTGTGCGAATATTAGCTTCACCTTTGAGACATTGGTCAGCACATAGGTAATTATGCTATTGTTTAATCAACTGGTGAGAAGGATATATTTTAGTCTTTGCCATATTGCTTGTGCTTATATAATTGGAGCTGTTAGTTGCTTCTATCCAATCCCTTACCTGAGGTTGCAATTTTAATTGCTCCATCTTACGTATACTACACTCATTAGGGTTGAAACTGCTCCAATTTTTATTTTTTTGATTTCCTGTTCCCCTTGAAGTTATCACTATTTCACCAACTCTTAGACTGAAGTCTGCTTTTTAGACAAATCAATACTGTTTGTTCAGTGATTATATTCCAGGCTAGAGCCATAGAATCTGCTCTCCTTTCTCCTGGTGGATTGTGCAGTTGGAAACGATTTCATTAAGTTTTATGTCATTTATGCTATTGTAGTGCCCTTGGTGAACAGGTTTTGTCTCCTCTCTAATTGCAGTCAACTGTTTTCTGAATTTTGAATAGCCACGTAGTATATCTGAGTTAGTACATAGTTTCTTGCGTTCTTCTGCAAAATCCTTATTGTTGCTTACACTTCAAATGTCTTGGCAAGTATAAACCCATTTTTTTAATTTTTTTTTTTGTAAATTGTTTCTCTGAGGATTTTGTCTGCCCATCTGCAGGGATAAACAACATCTGTAGAAGTCAAAGCTTTAGAGCCCATGCAATGGGTACAACTGAAGGAAGTGTTATGTCTCCGAAAGTCTTGACAGATACGGGGGATGAACCTGAACATCTTCTAGTCCTTGTTCATGGCATCTTAGCAAGGTAGGGAGCTTTGTTTACTTATCCTGAAGGATGCTTTCACGTGTCTACAAACTTTATATACATGTGTGTAGATATAATATGTATGTACATGCAATTGAAAAGGCTACAGTTGACTCCTCTGAGGTGGTTGGGGTTTACCCACTACAACAACATACCCAGTGTAA